AGAGCGGTTGTCTTGTAAGGGATACAAACTGAAGGTTGGATTAAATGGACATAAAGAGCACAGAAAAGATGGTGTCCACCTTTACACGCACATTCAAAGACAGATGTATAGCCCTGCAACAGACATGGCAGATAGTGGAAGGTATGTAGCCCCTTGAAGCCACGTAGAGAAACAAGTTTGTTGGTCAGCAAAATCTTTGGTTTTATTCTGAAATGAGATGTTTTCATTCCCAGCTCAGGGTGCTGAACTGCAGCAAGGGAACTGTCATTTGTTTTAGCAGTCTGCAAGGGCAGCAAGGAGGGAGGGAATAACATTCAGGCCCTTGGGAAGTTGAAGGGGATATTCCTAAAGCTAGCCAGAGCTGCAAACAGGCTCAGGTGATTTTATCCACCTAAACAAAGGGACACTTTTTTAAGCAACAAGCCCTGTAGAACCCTGATAACAGGACAGACAGCAGGGAAGGTATTCATTGTCTTTTGCCTATAGCCATATCCATCATTCATTTGTCAGATTTTGCTTTGAAAAATACCCAGTCATATGAAAAATCAATATCAAACAAAGCAAGCTGTCTCACGTTCCAAGAACCCACTTCAGTCTTTAAACCACGAGCTTCCCTAATGCACCAGAGGGACCAGAAGTCCACACACAAGCCTGCAGCCTCAGACTCTTACCAGGTTTTCTTCTTCATGCTTGAAAAAAAAATTAACTTGATAACACAACACTAGTGGGTTTTTTTTGTATTTTTATAAAATTTGTAAAGATATCACAAAATTACACACACACAAAGCTAAATATGCACACGTTTCAATGAAAAAGTGAAAGGAAATATTTTAAGTCTATTACTTGTATATACAATTTCAATCCAAATTTACATTTGCATCATTTTCTTGGATAATAAGAGCATGGATCAAATACAGGATTGAGATGCATGACCAGCACCTTTCAGAGATGCTACTTAAAACACCTGTATGTTATTTCATTTTCTGTTTGAATAGGCCACCCTAAAAGGCTCTTTTTTTAATTGAAACTGTACTAACAACTGGGAAGGCCGCTGCTAATATATACTCATTTACAATGCAAACATTCATAATTTGTTCCACTGAGATTCACAATACAATGACTGAAAGATTAATAGACTTGATTTATAACAACTTCTGAAATCTGATACAAATTTAGAACTCCATATATGGATGTTCAGTCAGTTAGGACACCTTTGAGGATTAAGGCATTAGTGTTAGACATAACTTCTATAAGTTAACTTTACAGTTAACTGAAGGCTTTTTTGCAGTTAACTAGTAACAAAAAGCGGAAGTTATTCTTGCCTACCTTTGGAAGAGATAATTTATGCACTCAGTTCTTTAGAGTTTTTTTAAATCAAAGTAATGAAGCTAATAAGAAATTACAAGACACAAACATCCCTATCCTTCAGCTACAGAAATAAATTTGTATTCGAATAACTTACATTTAGTGAAATTATTTTCAGACCTGTTTGAAATTATTTACTCTTAGCTAGAGCAATTTAAAAGTAAAACATCATTCAAATATTGCAAAATAAAGCAAAAATACAAGTTTAAAAGGAATAGCTTTTTTCCCTCCAAACTAATCTTTTTTTTTTTTTTTTAGTTGAAACAGGGGAAAAATTCTTTTAAGTTATACCTCTCCTGTTAGAGTACTTCACAACCCTAAGAAAATTCAAATCAAAAAACCTCTGAAACCAAAAGTATTCTGAATAGTTTGCTATTTTAATAACCTGCACAAACTGCAGATAATATATGTTAATTTAAGAGTACACAATAAACAGATCCATTTTCCCCTGTATTCTACTGTTGCTTACATTCATATTAAGAACCAGTACTGAAGGAAGCATCTGTAAAACTATCCGTTATGTCCACTCAAACTCCATACTTAACAAAATACTAACTGTGAAGGCCCTGGGGAAAAAAAACAATAAAATAAAAATAGAAATTATATCTTTAAATAGAATCCAGAAATGCAGTTTTATTTAGCTGCACC